CTGCCAGCAGTAGTCAACCAGGTATCCATTAAGCAATAAAAAGAAATGTTCATATGGCCGCAATCATGACACGCTCTCTTTTGGCCTCGTGTTGCTGATGTTGCTCCTGATGTTTCTGCTGCTGCTGCTGCTGGAGCAGGTGTTGCTGTTGCAACTTGTCAAAGTCTGGATGTCTGAAAGTCTGCTGCCTAACTGTACAAAAAACTACCTGAGGCTAGAAATTAAGGACTCAATTTGGCCAGACACTAAATCCCCCATTATGCACTTTAATTATATGCGCGGATTTGAGTTTTCTTTTTGCAGATTTCGGAATTTACTCAAGCTGGCGGACCGCATGAATGGCCAATTTAACCCATCTTGCACAATAAAATTCTCATTAAATTGTCAGCAATTTTGCTTGCTTTTTGCTCGTTCTCGGCAATCTTTTCATTAGCCTGACAATGTGCCACTGGGCGCCCGTTCGTTTCAAGGCCAGCCATCTCAGTTTATTGGCAAGCATTTCATTTCATTTCATAAAAGGGGACAGAAATGAGCCGCCAACGCTCGGCGACACACAAATCAAGCCAAGACAAATAATGGCCGAGAGACAACAATGTGCAGTGGCCCCTCGAAAAATGGAGGCTTGTGGCAAACACACATCCCCCATCTACCACCATACTATACTATAGTATACTACTTATATGTAGACACATTCCCCCACCACAGACGACCTTCATCGTGTGACGGCGGCGGGACTTGACTCGACTCATCGCAAGATGAGTGGCTCGATCGACCGACCAACTGACTGGCTATTCAGTTATATTATTATGGCATTCAATTAAGTGCAATCTGACCTTAGTGGAATCTCTTGCAACGCCAACGTTGGGTTTATCAATAACCTGACGATTGCCCAAGTCGCACACGAAATCGGGGTCAAAGTTGAACTGCAGCTCGTGTGCAGAAGTGTTAGGTCCAAAACCCCTTAACACCTAAAGTCATTAACCCGCTCGCTCTTTCACTCGCTCGCTTTGCATGCCAACAATTTGTCAACATTTGCCCACAACTTATCACCTGCTTAGCATCGCGGCGAGGCGCAAAGATCAAGTGCCGCCAAAGCTATATACAGCAGCACTTGCGGAATTTCCACCATTGTTTGCCACCGACCATAATGTAATGAGCCGGGCCAAGAACTGTCACATGTCTCACTCGGGCTTAATCGCGTTAAATGAGCGTTTAAATGGCTCTGAGCCAAAGTCAGCAGTAGCAGCATGTTTGCTTTTCCCCATGGGCTCGGTTGTTACAAGTGGAGTTAATAATAATAACAGAAAAAAAAGGGGCAAAACAAAAAGTGCAGAGAACCCGGCGCCACCGCCGTCGTCATCGCTGTGTTTACATTTAGAGAAAGGCACTCAATGACAGTCAACTACCAAATGGGATTTGTGAGTCAAACAATGTGCATTCAACAGTGCACTGTCAATAAATGGTTATAAAGTTTAAAGGGTTACGCTAACAATATCCAAATATCTGGATCTTAGATTAAGGTTCAATCCTTACAGTCGAGAATCAAGTTAAAGAAGAATCTTTTATTTCTGTGAAGGTCCATCTTTTTAATTTACTTCGTACCTCGTAAAAACACATGATTATTCAAACTTCTTCCTTATTTTCTCAGTGCATTAGTGCTGCTGGTAACTAGAGTGACTATCTGTCAAGTTGGCGGCTGCCTGGGAGCGGCAACAGCTACAAGCCATGTGGGTGGGTGGGTGTTCGTTTGGTTGTACGTTCCAGTGGGCTGAGAACGGGGAGAAAAGTGGGCGGGCAAGGAACAAATGCAATGCAATTGGCTGACTAGCTGCCTGTTCTCATTGTGCGACATTCCGCATTACGGCGGGCGCGTGATAAGCCCATAAAAAATACACGCCAACGACGAACTACTCAGCCACTCGGTCGAGTGTGTGAGAGTTTCAGTTTCAGTTTCAGTTTTGTGGCCAATAAGTCACCGATTCGAGAGCGTGGGTGTGGGTGTACAATATACGATGCAATACTGTACTATATGGCATGTGGACAGCTGGGCGCATTCGGCATGCTGCCGGCTAGAAAGGTGGTTTCAATTACCCAAAGATTAGTTCTATTGACGCTCGGCTGACTGCATTGGCATTACACTAAGATCTAGACTTAGATTTAGACACAGACTGAAAGTTAGAGGTGGAGGATGCAACGGTACAGCTAGTTCTGGCCGGCAAGCAATCAATAGGCTTCATTAGCCGGATCGTGGAAGTGGGTACGCCATGGGAGGCGGTGGCTCAGTGGCCCGCATGGACGCCCAGCGGTGTAGCTGTTAAAATTTGACAGTTAGCCGACAGCCGCGATCGTTAAGCATCATTAAACATGCCCGCCAACAAGAGCAGCGCCAAACTAACTACTAACTGCTAGTCAGCTAGCCAGCTAAGTCAGTCAGTCAGTCAGTCAGTTAGTTAGTTAGTTAGTCTGTTTGGTTGAGTTGGGAGCGGAGTGTTTAGCGATCCACGTCACTGATTATCACAATCGCAGATCGAGGATCGCGGATCTAAGCAGGGTTCAATCGGGTGGAACATTATTAGGTCCCATATGGATACACTGGGGGAAATTAAAGTGCTATTAAACGATCGTAAAATGCAATTATTAAGAGGATTGAATTAGATCTCTGAGATGTTAGGAAAAGCAATTACTAAAGGCGACTAAAAAAATCAATTACTTCAGCATTTATGGATTCTATGTTTATGACACCTATTAAACATATTTTACGCTTATAAATTAGATGTAGTAGCAGTCATAATTAAGCGGTTATTACTTGTCATTAACTACTTTAAGTTAGATCTTAATAATTTTTAAACATTTCAACAATATCAAGTTTCCTTTTTTGAAAAAACCAAACACTTTTGATTAACATCATTAATATTTCCTCAACTTCTTGATTGCAACTACTTGTTTTCCCAGTGTTTAATTAATTGGCCCAAGTATAAATAGCTAGCTATGCTGCAGGGAGAGATCCATAAAACAAAGAACTAAATGCGTGTGGCTGAATTTTAATTTCACTATCCAACCGATCCAGCCAGACCGATGGCGCCATAGCTGCATTCCAGAGTTTTCAGAATTTTCATTTAATGCCTACGAGAATAAAGAAAAGTTGGCAGCTGCAGTCTAGTCACTATAGTTGGCTGCTAGAGCTGGCTGGCTGGCTGTTCCGCTGACCCAAATCCATCTCTCAACGAGCCAGGCAGGCACACAGCGAAATAAGTTGGCCAGGCCAGGGCATTTAATCAACAGAATCCGTTGAATTTAATTCTCTGACTGCGATTCGCCGCACGTTTCACTCAGCTGTCTGTGGGCCACAGAACAGAATCAGAAAGAGAAACAAAAACAGCCACTGATGACAGATGTCATAAAATCAGGTGGGCTTTTCCACCTCTGGACAGACCTGGAGGAGATGCAGGTCTAACGGATTCTAATGGATTAAAAGAGGTTAAAGTTTGAATGGCTGCAGGCACAAACTGCCTACAATCTTGTGGGAAGAATGGGGGTGTTAACATTGTAAATGAAAGGGCGGGCCCAAAGAGAAAAAAGGTCTAAGCCAGAAATTGCATATTCATGGAGGCACAAACAGGAAAAGATGGGCGGTGCGAAATGGATTGGTCTGCCTGTCTATCTTTCAGTTTACGGAAAAAATAGCTAAAATAGAAAACACCAACAGCAGCAGCAGCAGCCACAAAAAGTCCCTGAGAATTGCATACAATTGAAGTCGCTGCCATCAGACACTCATTGTTGCGTGCAGTCACGTGAGGATAACAAAAACTAAAACAACAACAAAAATAGTATAAATTCGAAATAAAAATAAAACCAGTGAAGTGAGTAAGCTACGCAGCTTGGCAATTAAATCTAGTCAGGCCAGACAGACAACAATGTCATGAGCCTTTGCCATATTGTTTCAGACTTTGCCACTCAGCCAATTACATCAGCACTTTTTTTTCGTGTGCTGTGTGACCCGTGAGAGGCCCCCCTCTTACCCCTCTTAAAGCCAACACACACCTGGTCACTGCCAAGGTAATTACAGTCACAGTCAGAGAGTCGGTGCAGCAACTTCAGCCCCTGAACTTGACCTTTCCGCCGGCATCGGAAATGTTTTTCTGAGCGATTTTTGGTCTTGAACCCGCTTTGAAATCCCCCAAAAAAAAATGGAACTCTTTGAAAATGCCAAATGGCCAGTTGAAAAATATAAACAAACCGCCATAAACCATAACAAGCCAATCTCATTTCGGTAAACAGTAAATATTTGCTTTCGCATTCCCATAAAAAAATCTGAATAAAAAAGCATATATCCATATAATGATGTCAGTTTAGTCAGCAGCAGTCGCAGATGTCAAAAGTTGAGATAGGCTGAATAGTGAATCATCGTACCCCCCAGCTACTACTATTTATAAATAAAATGTTGTTTTCAATTTTAGCATAGGTCAGTACTTGTGATGATGCCAGCAACGAGTAGCCCCTCTAACACTGAAAATCGAGCGTAATATATGCAAAAGTGAATTGAATCCGACACAGAACATGAACATTATTTGCGTACAATTGAACAAAATAAAGACCCCGCGCGATGAACCCATTAAATTGTTTACGTAATCCATTTAAATGAATGGTCAATTCGCGTCGAGGTGCGAACTGAATGCGTAAACAAAATCCGGAGTCCGGACCACATGATCATCAAAAAAAAAGCTAAGGGAATGTTTATACATATATACCCATATAGCTCATTTAGAGTCAACCAACAACAACAACCATTCATAAGTCTCACAGCAGTCAAGTTTGCAATTAAAATCAGAGAGAATGAGTCAGAAAGTCGGGCATGGCATTGACCCATAAGATGCAGCTCTACTATTTCTGTTTTTGTTTACTTGCGATTAGAATAAATATACTATTTATTGTTTTTACTCCCGATAAGCTGGGCTCTCTAGCATCCTGAATTATAATGATAAAAAGTATTTAGAACTCACCTCAGTATATTCGCATGCGAGAGCTTGTTAAGGAGCTGCACCTCTCGCAGCATATTGGGTCGATTGGCCCGCAACTGATTCATCTTGAGCACCATCACCTGCCCGGTTGTACGATGTGTGACCTGGAAAATAAATCAAAAAATCCCAAAATTAGAAAAACATTGCCCAAAACAGAAACATGAATTCATATGTATTACACAAGTATAGTAGTAAAAGTGGCAAAACCATAAATCGTTCTGCCACTGCCACTGACAACTCAAGTGCAAAATGTGAGGACACGGCCAAACTAAACCAGGTATATATCTGTTTTATTTTTTTGCAATGTTCCAGGGTCAAGTTCGCATGGAAAGTTGCCGGCAAAGTGCAAAGCAAATATCGAGAGCTGGAGGATAATTGCATTGAAACAAGTGAGGCAACAAGGAGAGTGAGTGGTTTCCATGGATTTCTGCAGACCAAATGAAAAATCAATAAACCCGTCTGTCTGCGCTTTGGTCCAATGCAATTTGATGGTCGGCGGTTAACTATACAGAAACGTCTGCAATCACAATTAAAATTGTAAATTGAATTTGCCTTTTGCAGGTGGGTTGGGTTTAGTTACGCCCGCGAAAGGGGTTAAATGTCATTTGGCCGGAAGGTGCTACGTCGCGTAGGTGCTATTTCTGTACATCCACTACACTGAGGGGAAATTTAGGAGATTTTTAGCGACTTTAAGCTCCGAAAAAGATTTATTATTAGAATTATTTAAAAATAAAACCCAGAATTATCTTTAAAAGGCTCTTTCAGCTGTCACCTTTTAAACTTAAAGCTAAAAATAAAGAACATTTGGAAAATTAATGCCTTCGCTTTATTTGGTGATAATACTTTTGATTTAAGAGTGACTTTTGCACAGTTTAGAGCTCGTCGTCTGAGCCGGGATTGCCACTTGGCGCCAGACAACATTATTCACAATTCACTTAAATAAATAGCCCCAAGTTGCTGCCAAGACACACACGTCTGTACACTTCTATGCTCGTATATTGTATGTAGACCGTAGTCGTCCGTCGTCCACAATGGCAACTAGTGTTCCAACTCTTCTTGAATTGTATACTATTTTTATGCCGCCAGCAGCAGGCAACACAGGCAACGCAAATACGTAGTGAAAACAACAAACACAGGCACTTCTACTATTCTACTACCTTTGACGCGAATTTCTCGGCTCTTTGCTAATGGCAGCAAATTAAGTTTCCATGTCCCTTGAAATACTCTCGAGGTGGGTCTCTCTAGGTGAGTAAGCTGATATGAGCTGGATGGCAGGATAGGGAATGGAAGTTGGGAACCTCGAGATCTGGAGACACGTGTGCGTGGGTGACACACACGACGCCGACAATAACAACAACTGCAGTACCATGCAACAGTCGTAACCAAGTCATTGTCATTCTTTATTGTCCTGTTGCGCTTTAAGCTCATTTCGACTTGGTGCTGGCCTCCATTCTCTAGCTGCTAGAGCTGCCTTTGCGTCGGTGTTAACAAATTTATGAAGTTTCTGTTGCCATTTGCTATTTGCTTACGCCCAGCGGGCAAAGTCCAATTCACGGCGGTCTGCAGTCATAAGTTGTTTGTCTTGTTGTCTGGCTAACAGCAATAGCAATAGCAACAACAACAGCACCAGCAGCACCATGTGGCAATCAAAAATGTTGGAGGAGGGTTGAGAGGTGAGGTATTCCCAAGATTCTTAACTCAGCTCAGAATTCGATTTCCGCTTTGTGTCACTTTATTTTCGGCTAGCTCCTCGTGTCATGCCGCTCATTTGCTTATCTGCCACTCAAAGAGCTTTCAATATATACTTATACTTATACCGATTTTTACCTATATGTTTTCCGCAATAAAATAAAACCTCATAATGCTGACACACCCAGCCGGATGGACTCAAAATATATTTTTGGGTATGGAAGTTCTCTTTTAAATCGCTGCTGTCCATCATATATTGATTTTACAGTAAAACTTCGAAAATGTAAACATGTTTAGCTGTTAAGTATGTAAAGATTTATCCTAAGCTCAACCTAATACCTCATTAAGACTAAAAAACTTATAGTAAGTCGTTTAAACTTATTCATTTCTGCGTATCTGCGTACTGAGTAATCCTACTTATAGAAGTCCCACTGTATTTCATTCTTTAATTACCAAATTATTTGTGCGTTGTGCGTGACCAATAAAGCTCGAACGCTTTATGTTTGTTTGCCAAATTGATTTGCATTAAATGAGTCCCTGCCTTACAGACAAAGCTGACTGACAAGTCAGTCTTCTGACTGTTGTCACAGGCTGTCATCCCGGCCGACCATCAAAAGAGCCACTCCCCATGGAGTGTTTGGCCGGGACAATTAAACCATTAAATGCATTTTAGAATGCCTTAGAAGCGCTTAATGAGCGCTGCAGATGAAAAGAGCCCAGTTTCCACAAAATGCACGCTGAGTACGTGTATTTATCCAAAAATGTTCGAACCGTTCGTGCCGCAGACAAAGCGAATGAAGTCGATTCTCCGACCGGTGCAGTGGACCAAAAAGTGGCACGTCCGTGTTCCTAAGTCCGAAGACTGAAGGCCTGCAACTGTGCTAAAAGAGAACACACTCAGTGTTTGTGTGAGGTGGATGGATGGATTGATATTTTTGCTTCGCGGCCAGCTTCAAAGGCTGTCCATTTGGTTGGCCGGTCCGGTCGGTTTCTTATTGAAAAGCGTTTAGGCCAGCAATGACGTGAGAAAAGAATTACCAATAACCCATACATCAGCATCCGATGGGCTTCCAAATCAGAAATAATCAATTACCGGCGAAATCCGAAAACGAAGGTGTTCGAGTGAAAGAAGCCACCATATTGATCTGGGTCGTCGTGTGTGGGAAAGTTATTGGGTTCTTAAAGCTTTTTGACCAGCTTAGAAAAATCCCAAGATTTTCCCCGAAAATTCATTTGCACCGTCGTTTAATTTTTGGGTGGTAAAAGAGTGATAAACAATCGAGTCGAGTGTAAACAACAGAAGACTAAGAAAATTATTTATGAAGGAATATAAACAAGTCATACCAACTTCATTGTTCTGTTTGCTTGCTTTTAAAGCATGAAAATGCTTTTAAAAATCTTCGTTTGCACTTGAAATAATGCGCCAAGTTTAAGTTCCGCCAATGAAAACTGAAAACACCCGGCGGTGGTGAGAGTTAAGTCATATATATAAAGTCATCCGTTCTGCACATTCAAATGAAACACATCAAATTATTATTACTTAACCAGTTTTAATGGCCATCTGAGAGGCTCCTCATCCTCATCATCGCATTGCATCGATGGTTATGTCAACAGGCAGCAGCAGCAGCAGCAGCATCTCGGCATGCAAACAAATTTCTTGCCTTTTGCCGTAAATACTCGTATTTTCACTTTCAGTTGAGGCAAAAATGAAAATAACAGCATCGCGGCGGCGTCCACAATAAAATGGTGGCGGTTGCGGAAACAAAACAACAAACAACAACGAAAGTTGCCGCACCACCTCGCCAAAAAACATCCTTTTTGACCAAAAGGCCAGGCGTTTTTTTCGGACGAAACCAGTCGCCGAACGAGGCTCAGTGAATTGGTAATCGGTAAGCAGAGAGAGAAACCCGCTCATTTTGAGCCTGTGTAGTATGCCTGTTACATACTACACGTATTTTTTTTGTTGGCCGAAAAAACGCGTTTATTTTTCTTTCAGCCAACGGACCCGCAACACACACGTGTGACATTCGATCTGCGGTGGTGCCAGTTTAACTTCGACGACTCGATTGCACCGGCTACTACATACATAGTTGCTGGTGGAAATATTCCAGGTATTTCCACGCCGCGACTGCGTTTCGTTTTGCTGGTTAACAAATACTTAATGCGATTTACAGTTGGGTTTCTTAGTTTTTCATTCACCAAGAGAGCCAGCCAGAGCCTGGTCAATCATCTTTCACATGGCAGCATGTTGTGGCAACACGAGTTAGCGGTACAATGTCACCGGCTTGGAGGGAGTCTCGAGTCTCTCTGGCTAAAACGTGTTCTGGCACACTCCGTCGCGTTTTTCACGCCGCTGTGCGAACCTCATAAGCAAAACCAAAACCCAAACCCAAACCCAAACCCAAGAAAATACGCACCACGACATACGCCGTACGACAGACAACAAATGTCGGCTAAAACCATGTAAGACAAATATTAGGCGAGAGGTGTTGCTGCCACCAAGTTCTTCTGGTCATTCCCATTCCGAAGTTGTTGGTGTTGCTGTTGTTGGCAGAAAAAGAACCAGCTGGGTAGCTCTAGCTGATAGCCAGGCCAAGAGCTGCTGGAGAAGCCGGCTTTGAATGGAATTTAACCCAGTTTGCTTTCTTTCGCTTCTTTCTATCTCTGGCTGTCTGTCTTGCTGCTGTCTTCATTTCTACACAAGCTCCAACTGGCTTTTCTCAGTTTTGGTTTTGGGCGTCAGGGGCCGCTCTAAATGGCCTTTATTGCTATGGTCAGTTATAACGAGGCAATGGAGAGACAGGTGACTTTGTTTGGCTATTTGCATGGGGCACACAAAACGGGTTAAATGGGGATAATATTGCACGCTCTATTGTCACGATAGCAAGAGGAGTGAACTGGCCCAGTTAGTGCTTTCTTTTAATTTTAAATCTAACTTTGGGTAATAACTAGTACTAAAATTAACCTTGACGCCTGGACTGACTGACGCAATGTCCAATATTTTTAGCCATTATGATACAGTCAAATTGTATAGACCTTATCGCGGCTGTATACTATGTATATAAAACCTGCTATTATCAGCCTAGTCGAGTATTAGGATTATAATTCAATGGCTAATCTAATCAGTGGACGGTGGGTTTCGGGCCAATCTTATCGGCCCATTGAAAGTTCACCTGCCCAAGGGCATACTTATGATTGGCCATAAAGATGCATCCGCCGGTTGGCTGGAAAGGGTTTGGGGATGGAATTAATTAGAGAAAAAGCTTGTGAGCGAGCGTGTGCATCAATCACCATAAACATTTATTAAGCCGGCAATAGCGGAACACAATTGCAGATAAAACTCCGGCCAGCCCCCAAAAATAACAGATATATATCTCCACATTATGCCGTGGCCAAAAAAAATAGAGTCGTAAAC